AGGATGAGTAAAGTTTTCAAATACAGACAGAAGGATAGCTGGTAGTATATAATTATTGTGAGAAATTAATATTTATCAAAATAAACTAAAATAATTCAGTGTATTTATGTTTCTACCCACTTCATTATATAGAAATGGGAGTTGGGTAGGAAAAATATAAAAAATATAAAAATAGGTAGAATGCCATGTCAATGGGACACTACAGACTCTAAGGTAAAAGCAGAAAAGATGGTTGCATAATGAATAGATGCTGAATGAATGTGGACTGAGTAAAAATTAAATACATATGAATACAATATGTTGCCGTACTTTTTTGAGAGACTGAATAAAGACCAGATTGCAAAGCAAATACATTACAGAAAAGTGAATGGGTTGAGAGAAAGGAAAACACAGAGGAAAGCATAGTTACAGGTAGCTGATGGAATCCTCAAAAAGAAAGAGAGGAAACGTTTAAAAATGTTTTTAGAAATGTGGAAACAAGGTTATCAAAAATATAAAAATATGAAATGATTTGATGAATAATATTGACATAAACTAGTTTTATCTATGTATCCTTTTTTTCTGTTATCCTTTAAATTTCTTATTCACCTTCTGTTCTGTACAGATGCTTCCTGTGAAGCAGAAGAACAAGATGCATATGCATATATGACTTAGAATAATGTGTCAATGCAGCCACTAAATTCACATGAGATTAGTTTTGCTCAGTGCAAGGGTTTTCAAACTTTGTAGTATCATGACCCCTCAGAATGATAAATGATTGTATTTGACTCCCCTTCCCCTAAATAAAACAAAACAACAAATAAGTAAAAAATGCTGCAATTGGCAAATGGTTGTGATAGAAAGCTAGATCCTAGATGTATCCATCTCTTCTACATTTCTGGGAGTTTTGCTCCCAGCTTTATCCTAGGGAAGTCCCCTGAAGAATTGCTGCAAAGTGGAATTGGATTTTCACAGCATCCAATTTTATTTTCTTAAACCAGATTAGCCTGTGGTTTTTTTTGTTTTGTTTTTTTGCAACTCCTTCCTCCCCAAATTACTTGCAATTGAACAGAACCTACTGACTCAGAACCCCTAGCTTAATGTGAATACAGCCCTTTTATAATAAAAGGGCAGATAGTACGATCTGCAGAAAGCAGAAAAGTAAAAGAGCTTCTCTTCCTTTACTTCTGTTTTTGGTTTCCTCCCCTGTCCATTGGAAGAGAGCTGTTTCTTCTCTGTGTGCATTTGTTCTTTTGAAAACTTTATTGATTTTACATAGAATTTACTGCTTTTAGAAAGTGCTGGCAAATAAAAAAGGCTTTAAAAAAACGAAACATTTCATAATGTGTGGGCTGGAAATGGGTTGTTTTTATCCTAAATGCATTAAGAAATGAAATAATCTGTTTTATAGCAATGGGCTGAGAATAAGTATATGGGATAGGGATGGTTTGAACTCTGTGTTGAAATTTTAAAATTGCCAAAATGAAATAAGAGCTAGAACACTAGAAGAAATGGAAAGTATTGAATAATTGAAATGCAAGTCAGGCAAGCAGGTTGTCCACTGAAAGGGAAAACCTGCTTTCAGGAACTAATTAGGAGATTATATAAATCCTAATAGTCAGACCAGATGTAGAAAGTTATTTCTGGCATTAATAAAAGGCACAGAGGGAAATCTACACAGGGATGGTAAAAGCAGGACTTTTGCAGCACATAGCCTTAGACCAGCGGTTCCCAACCTTTTCTATACCTCGCACCCCTAGAATGCTTCTGACCCTAAGCCTAACCCTCTTACAAAAGTAATACCTGGTTATGGATATACACTATAATTTTGAAACTTCTAAACCCAAGTTTTCGCACCCCCTGGAATATCATCTCACACCCCAGGTTGGGAATCCCTGCCTTAGACAAACAAGCAACATATATACACTTATGTAAGATGGAGATCTGTGTGCAGTCTTCTTGGTGCTGTAAAAATCAGACATTTCAATAAGATCAGAAATCTATAACCACATAAAGGCTAAATTCTGTAATACTGATGGTCTTTTTGAATAAGAGTTTCTCAGCCAAATCTGAGAAAATGGGCTTGTAGCAAAGAACAGCTAGTGCAGGGAGCAGGTGTTAGACCTGTTTAGACTGGTCATCTGTGTATCTGCAGACATCTCAAGGTTCTCAGGTCTCAGTTTTTTAAATGATGTTTTAACTGTCTACTATACAGCTGACTATAATTTTCCAGATGATTTTTATTTCGAATAATGCTTAGTTACTTCGTAATTCTTAGTTTTTCCAAAGAACAATTTTAATATGGGCATGAGGTCTAGGATGGGAGACAACAGGGATGCCCACAAGTTTGATCCAAAAAGTTAGATGGCAGCTCTGACAGTATGATTGTATCTGTAATCTATATCCTAACAGGCAAGATTTTGATTTCATCCATTATGGATGCTGTCTTAAGCTTTTTTAACTATATGCTGTAGACACTTCTGGCATTGGCTGAGCATTTGGTATATTTGGAGCTTCTGAACCTTCCCCTCAAAACCTCTAATCCTCCAGCAGATGATTTTGAATTTAAATAATTATTGAGAAGTAACTGAGAAAGTTGGATCCTAATGTTGTGTTAGTGTGTATATTTCTACGGCATTTTATTCATATTGTTACAATCAACATTCAGTGGAAATAGAGCATCATGCATTAGATGGTGTGTGCCACATAGAAACCAGATGACACCTCTCCCACTAGAGACATTATATTATAAGGCACATCAGAAGAAACCTTGGAAGCTATGGGATCATCACATCAGAAGGAATCTTGGAAGTCATCTGATTCAATCACAACTGAATTCATGATTTACAAATGCATGATATGATCATAATATTCTTGATAGATGGTTGTCCTCCTCTGCTTAGATGTTGTTAATAAAGCTTTAAATATATTTGACTTATTAAGCCACAGTTTATTTCCAGCTGAAAAAAATACTCTGCCCCTTATAATATTTCAGGTTGTTGTTGTAACTTTATTTACTTTCAAAAAACCAGGGCTTCATTCACACTTAAAATCAGTATTTTAAGCAAGCAATTTCCCCTAAGAAATATTGTTAAGAAATGAAAGTTAGATGGAAGTGGAAGAGTCTAGAAAAATCTTCTACAGCTGCCATAAAACTGATCAGATCTGTAAAGCAGAACTGACAGATCACAGTGAACCAGCTGTTGAGAAGTTTAGCTGACACCAGGGTATTTATCCACTGATTTACAATAGAGCACTGCTTATGCAAGAATGATCTGCACAGGAGAGCTGTTGGAAAGAAATCTTTTCTGAAACCTAGTCTCAAAAGGCAGTCTAGGGTATGCAAAAGAAAACTTTAATAAGTCTGAAAATATTTTGGAAATAAGGACTTCGGGCTCATGAAACAAAAATTGAATTGTTCCACAATAACACAAGATACTTTGGGAGACAAAAAGCTAAGCAATTTATAAGAAAATAATATCTTGCCAGTTGTTATGTTCCAAAGTAATTTTGCTGTGCTTTGGACTTATGTGTCAGCCAATGGCAAAAGAAATTACAGGTGGAAAAAAAATAGATTTAATTTAAAATGTAGCCTAAAATGTAATATCTCAATCTCACATTGTAAAGAAACTGATGTTGAAAAAAAGTTGGATACTTTAGCAAGTCAGTCCCATTTGGAGAAATATACCTCCAAATTAACCATGAAATATTTACAGAAAGGGAAAATAATGGTTTTGAAATGACCTTCATAGTCCCAATACTTGAATATTATTGCAGATCTGTGGGAAAAATTCAAAAACATGCAGTACATATAAAGAAACTTAAGAAAAGTTCTGAGCTAGAAGATTTCTACAAGGAACAGTGAGAAAAATTATTAGTAGGAAGACACATAGGTAGAAACAGAAAACATGGAAGCTATTGTTTCTATCAAAGGAGGTGTTGCAAATTACTGATGGAAGTGATGTCCAAATACCTCACCATAGTAGGAACACTTGGGGAGGAGGGGAGATTACTAAATTGATAAAGAAGTCAATGAATGTCATGAAGATATATATTTATGAACATCTATGGATACATGCATGTAATTATAACTATATATTTGGTGTAATGGTTAAGGTGCTTGTTAGAAATTCAGAGATAGTGAATTCTAATCCTAGCTGGTGTTTTTAGGACATTCATTTTCCTTCAGCCTAGAAAGGAGGTAATGGCATTTCTGAAATCTTGCCAAGAAAACTGCAGGAACTTGTTCAGGCACACTGTCTCAAAGACAGGTAGTTATTTAACTATTAAAAGATCTTGTTAGGGCGGACTTTGCAAATCGTTACAAGATAATATGCTGATTGAGAATTGGTGAAGTTGTAGTTCAATGTTTTGGGAGGGGACTGAGCTGATAAAGTGTACTGTGACAGGGAAAAGTTGGCTTCTGTGCCTTTGCCCATCTACATACTCTAGTCTAAATTCTGTTGCCTCTGCTATAATACACACTTCTAAGTAGTTACTGAGAGATGTGATAGGTGATAAGGAGCAAGTGTGGGTTACTTCATTCTTCTGAGATAGTTATTCTAAGGTCTCTGGTCACAAACTCACATTCTCTACCATAACATCACTGATGTTCTGCTGGGGGAAGCATAGATGATGCATTGCTATCACATGTACAAAATTACTAGAGGTGTGGCCGAAGGGCATGTTGTTGGACTGAAGTAAGAGATATGGTTGTTGTTGTTTTTTGTAGACTGCTCTCTTTTCTAAGAGATTTACTGAAAAATTGTGGGGAAATTAATAGTATAGCATTATAGCAGGCACAAGAAATATATCTCTTCTCTGGATCATCACAGCCAGAGATATCCTGAGATGAGTTAGAGAAATCTTTCTGACAGCAGTGCTGTTTTCTCATAATTTTTCTTTTGTTTCTGATTTGCCTCATTTTGTCACCATGTCATTCCTTTCCCTGTTCACTCTGCCATGCAAAGCAAAATGTTCTATAGTCACGTCATCTAAACTTGACTTCTCCTCTCTCCCAGATACCACAAGGACCAAGAAGAGTCATGAAAAGGAGGGTGTGGAATACAACTTTGTTTCAAAACAGTCATTTGAGATTGATATACAGCACAACAAGTAAGTTTTGCTTTGAGGTGCTGGGGGAAATAGAAAGTATGTCCTTTCTCGTATTGAGCCCAGTTCATGTCATGTATCCTCTGAGAGTCTAACTAGAGTAGCTCTTCTTTGCTGATAGAGATTTTAACTTCATAGGTAGAAGAACTTTGACAAGCATATTTTATCTCAGTTTGGGGCTACAATAATGGGAAATTCTGTTTGGCTGTAAATGTTCTCCAGTTGGAATGGAACCAAAGAGAGACCTTACTAGGACTGGATTTGTTTACTTAATATGTTGTATTAATTATATGCATTCCTGTGCTGCATTTTTGCCAGTTTCTTAATACTTCACAAAATTAGACAGTGTTCTGAGATGACCCAGAACACTGAACTTCCCTAGTTTACCTTTGCTCGGAGGAGGAATTGCTGAACAATTCTTTTAGTACATGAAATTGAAGATCTGTGTTCCATAAGCCATGCTTTTTTTGGTCCTCAGATATGCTGGAACTGCATTCCCTAAACTCAATAACATGCTAAGTAAAGTTGCAACATATCGAGAGTGCTGGGGATCACTGCTTTAAGGGTTGAGTAGTACTATAGGCTGAGAGTATTAAAATGTCCTTCCACATGCTAATGCTGAGCAGATCTGAGATTAGTTTTACATTTACAGAATGCTATAATATTTGTGTCGTGTTTGGAAAAGTGACTAGATGTCTCTAGGTGTAAGGTAATTTTTTTCTTCATTCTAAACAATTGCTCTTTTCTTGATGAAAGTGAAATATTCAAAAAGAGTAATCCCTTTCAAATCTTGTGGCCTGAAGCAAATTATTAAAAATAGAAAAGAAAAAGACAATTTTACGCTATAATAAACATTTGACACATTTGCATGCTGCGCTCTCTTTTGAGGTTGGTGTTCAGTTTTGCTTTTTCTCACTTAATTCCCTCACTATTTTCAGGTTTGTCGAACATGGAGAATATAAGGAGAATCTTTATGGGACAAGCCTGGAGGCTATACAGTCTGTCATGTCTAAAAATAAAGTTTGCCTTGTGGATGTTGTGCCTGAGGTAAATTAACATTTTAAAAAAAAAACTGTGCTCCAGATTTGCTTTTCAGTTTAGGGTCCATCCTATCCATGGACAACATATGGCCTTTTAGAAAGAAATTAGCCGTGTGTAGCAAGAACTGTAACAACTAACAGATGCATTACAAATTAACTTCCTTGTGGAAATACGCTGTGTTATTTTCAGATGTGCCTTGTATCATATATTTTTATGATGTTTGTGTCAGTTGGCACCGCTACATCTATCATTGTCTTCTGGTCCTTGTTTACCACCAAGATGTCTGGTTGATTGGCCAGTAGCTGTCTGTCCATCTGGATCTGGAAGTCCCTCAGAATTTTAGCCCTATTGTTCTCCACAATCTTCTTTGGGACATCTCATTTGGATCTGGGGGTGATTAGCCCATGTACTGTCCAGATGTTCCTCTACATAATGCCAATTATCTGGCTGTGCTGTTCAGTGTATGCTGTTCCTGCCTGCAACTTATCCCTGACACTATGTGTTGCTGGACTGCCTCTGAGGCCTCTCTACATAGTCTGCACTTATACTATCCAAGATAAATATAAATAAATAACATATATAGTATCTTGAGTTGTACATTATTTTCCTTTCCATATTAAACTTTTATTACTTTTAATAACTGGTGAATTTGGTTGGAAATGCAGGATTGGGCACATTTTCAAGCAGGTAGCATTCAGTTGGCTATCAGTTGACTAATTACCATTTACTTCAGAGGGTTTCAAAAGATAATTTCACCAGCACTAGGCTATTCTCCCAGTTATTTTTAACTTTTATTAATTTATAGCCCTTTTTATCTTGGTGTATATTTTCAGTGCTATTTATCAACGAGTGCCACTTTTATTGTATTTACTGTTAAATTCTAAAGCAATATTACAACAAAATTCAAGATACCTTCAAAGATTCCTTCAGGCCATCAAATCAAGAGAAATAATGACAATTTTTTTCCTTTAAGAAATTGTGGCCACAGATTCCTATTTTTCATATTTCTACTTTCAGGCAGTGAAGCATTTAAGGACAGCAGAATTCAAGCCCCATGTTGTCTTTGTAAAGCCTCTTGTCTCTGAAAAGAAAAAGAACACACCAGCCTCTCTGCTGACAGAGGACATCTTTGTCCCGCTTGTAAGTATTTTGTATTGAAAGGATGGTTCCCTGTGAGGAATCTATAACGGAATGGGCAACATTTACCTCTACTGTCTTCACTGGAAGGTCATCTGTGTACAATACCAGAAATTGACCTAAAGGACGTGGTAGCCACGCAGACCAAAGTGAGTGGGATCACCCATTTTTTATTTTCTTTCTAATGTTATTTACTTCATTGGATTCTCCTTGGATTCTCCTTTTATCTCTTTTATTGCCCTTGATTTATACATTCCAATATTTGTTTTTATAGTACCCTCCCACAGTGTTTGCCTGTAAGGAGTTAAAGTATACAAGATGATGGGCACCATGTCATAATCCAAATTCCAAATCTTTTATACACGTGGTAGTATCCTGTGCACATACAAAAGGAGTCTGACTTGGTTCTTGATGCTATATTCTTTGTCTTGCAGATTTTGATGCATCTACTCCATGAATATCCAGATTCATATTATATACACTCATTAAGCTAAACTATGGCTTACTTGTTATGGATTCAATAAATCACTATTTGGTGAATTTGCATATGGCTCTAAGACATATATCTAATTTTTAAATCACAATAGCTGCATTCATACAACACATTAAATGCAAACCAAACAAATCTCATAATGGCTTAATGCAATGGATAAAACTGGTATTCGTTCAGAAAATAAATCCATTGTAATCAGTGAGGCATAAACCCATCATGACTTAAATGTCCTTGATTTCTTTTATCTTTTTCTACTTATAATTAGATCTGGTTCCAGCTGATTTCCATATTTAGTGAATTCTTAAGTGACTGGCAAATAAATGTACAACCAAAAAAATGCATTAAATTATTATAGTTATAACTCAATATATTCAGCTTATTACAGATAATTCTTGACTTAAAACCGTTCGTTTAGTGACCAAAGTCCACTCCACTGAAAAAAGCAGCTTATGACTGGTCCTTGCATTATGACCATCACAACATCCCCACAATCGCTTGATAAAGATTTTTGTGTTTGACAGCTGGCATGTATCGATGATGGTTGCAGTGTCTTCAGGTCATCTGATTGCCATTAGGGGCTTTTGCAGCCTGCTTCTGCCATGCAAAATCATTGGGGAAAGCTGGATATACTTAGGACTGCATGGTTCATGTAACAACTGCACTGATTCATTTAACAATGGGCAAAAAAGGTAAAATTGAGTGTGACTCACTTAACAACCACCTTGTTTTGCAGCAGAAATATATGATCCCAGTTGTGGTCATAAATCAAGGACTACCTGAACTAAATTTTACTAGTCAGTTCTGCTTTCTGCAGCAGAATTACCCCGTGGGATATATTTTTTTCCCTAGGAAGTGCCAAAAGTGTATTGCAACTCAAAACCACTTTTAATGAACTAGCCAAGAGTCATTTCCTATTGTCTTTCTGTTTCATTTTGCAGGATGAGGAGCAGCAAGAAATGGTGAACTCAGCAGCCTTCATTGAGAAACAATATGGCCACTTAATCGATACTGTCCTGGTAAAGGAAGATCTCCAGAGTGCCTGCAGCCAATTGAAAACCATATTGGAAAAACTGAACACAGATTGTTTTTGGGTGCCTGTTTCTTGGGTTAAGTTGTAGACAGCCATATTATGCCAAAAAAGAAGATAATAATTTGTAAATAGAATGGATGGCTAGAAGGGGGAAATGCTGCTGTAGCAGCCAGTTTGTTCGAAAACCTGGAAAGAGAATCTCTTTGCAACTAAAACGGTATTCTGATTAATCACTTCCTCTAAAAGAATGGAATGCAAAATTGCACGATACAATCCAGGGTATGTGTGAGTCTTCTTATAAAGCAGTTCTGGATATTTGAATGCTGTTTCTAGCTCTGCGACAGATTCAAACTCTGGTTATCTTGACAAAGATTAAATAACTGGGAAACATTACAGAGCAAAATATGCCAACTCTGAAACTTCCACAATGAATAATAAATGATAGAGTCCTTCATATAAGGGTTGTAATATCAGATAACACAATAATAAACCTTCTCCCCTCCTGCGATTGGTTGAGCAAGCAGAATCAAAAGAGCAATTAGAAGTGACAGTTGATATTTTACTAGAAGAGAAATCTTCCTAGCCACCTCCAAAGGCTTTAATAATTTTGTCTGAAAATTAACCACACTGTATATTCTCTCTTTATAACTATATTTTGAGACATCAATGACTTAGTGGGATTTTCTCCCTAGATTATCTCAGTAAATTGCGTAAATATTATGTTAAATTATGAAGTCAAGACATTGGAAACTGTCTCATTTCTAATCAAAGGACCACAAATTTCCCATGAGAAATGGTGAAGAAGCATTTGTCCTCTATTTCTACTTTGTTATGAACTGTAAGTGCTGGGGTATCTCTGTCATAGGCCAATCAGTTACCCATTTTACGTCAGTTTTAACTTAGGCAAGTGGTCTGAATTTTTAAAATTGCAAAGGATATTTGACATAAGCTTGATCTTGCAGAATGATAGCTGAAGATCTTTGGCAGTCAGGAGTATCCAATGCCCAAGACTCTCCGTGATTAGCATAATACTGGATTTGCTGTGCAAACATAGAATTGGATGCAGAGTTCAGCATCCAGAAATTCACTTTAAAGGCTGAGCAAAATTTCAGTTCTTCTAATGATTGAAAATATATAGTTTTTCTTTGCTTTTCTGGACTTGGTAAAAACTGAAGTGGAACCTCCTTCAATTCTAAGAATTGAGGTGAAGGAATATTCTAACTCTGAAGCATCACAGCTAGCCTTTTCCAGAACTCCATATTCAAAATGATTGATACATCATAAACATACAAGTCATCTGCTTTGCTTTATTTTTTTCTTGTAGAATGTTGTTATTTTTTGCAGATGTTGCTTTGGTGATTAAAAGGGAGGGTTGGTTCTTGTGAGACAGGGCTTGGCTTATCTGTATTTTTCTTCTGTTCTCCATACTGGTTTTTCTGTTCTTTGTAAAGAAAATATTTCCCATTGTGAAAAAAATTATCAATCTTCCTAGAGCTCTTCTATATCTTAATTACAGCATTTATCACCAGTCGTCTTTTGAAGCAGAAATTGATGTACATATTTAATTCTGTAGTTTTAAAATTGTAAAGAAAGTTGGGGCTTTGTTTAAAAACTTATCACGGAGATTAATTGGGCCATCAAGTTGGTGTCAGTTCTTAGCAACCATATAATTTCTCTAGGTGGATCTGTTCCCAGGTTACTGTAGTTCTTCAGATCTTCCAATGGTGTAATCCATCACTGCCATAACTGAGTCCATCTATCTTGTTGCTGGTCATTGTTTTTCCATTCACCTTTCTGAACATTAGAGGTTCTCCAAGAGCTAGATGTCTTCATATGTCCAAAGTAGCATAAATTGAGCCTGGTCATTTGTGCTTTGAGCGAGATATCATTAAGGTTGATAATACTAGGTGAACCTCTCTAGAAAACCGTTTGCTCACCATTATTAATCTTTCTGTGAATGAAACAAGGTTCTAGGATACACTGTCAATTGATGTGCAAGGCTGGTAGGATTTGGCAGATCTAGCTACTACCTGACAAAAGGTGAGGGTATATGTTCACCTTATATATTGTATGTATGTGGTATGATATTCCATTTATCCTTTACAAGTATGGGATAGAGGCATATAGCTTGGAATGCAAGGAATTCCCCCTCCCCCAATTTCTCTTTGAATCCCTCATGCCTAAAATAAAAAATTCCCTTTGGTATCAAATACATAGTTTGGTTCATAGAATGTATCAACAAGCTGATAGGAATTGTGTAACTAAAAATTCAGGTTTCCTAAGAGTGCTAGTCTTTTGCAAGAAAAAATAATAGCTAATCAGTTCATTGTTGTATACAATTTATTATTGCAGGTCATTTCTAGTGTCTTTCACAAGACGAATTGGTGCAGAAGATGCTCCTTGAAGAGAAAGAAATGGTCAAATCTTTGATATCACAAGCCACCACAACCCATTTTGCAAATTGGGTGCTTGTGAGGGTAGATGAAAACAAAACAAAACAGAACAAAAATCAGTGCATGAATGCAGCTAGAATATTCAAAACTCTTTTTAACAGTACATATTTGTGCAACTAGAATATTTTTAAATTTGTTTTTATGCTTAAGGACAACTTGTATTCCAGCAGTCCCCTGACTGATCAGTTGCTTCTTTAAATAATTCATTGTGTTGTATCTGGGGTAATACAATGATTTTATGCATTTAATACATGCAGTTTTTCAGAGAGATTTTTAGGATGAGAACTGCTTGCTTTAATTTGTCTGCACTGCCTTTCTGATACCTTTCCCATTGCTAGTTGTCTCTTCATTTGAATACACAATTTCATCCACCATTGATATATATTTTTTAATTCTTTTGTACCATTGGAAGAAAGTACAACTTTAAATGTGAGTTTGTTTCAGTATTCATTGCTATGTCAACTTACCTGCCTTCCATGAAAACAGCTACCTTATAATTTTTCCTTGGAAAATATCTGTTTGAAACAAAAAAGCAGCTACTGGAGAATACTGCCAATCTCACAGAAAGGATTTACAATGAAAAAAATCCTGCACCCTATTCCAACATGCAGGCTATTTTCAATTATATATATTTAAAACACAAAAATCTAGCTTTCTGGTAGACAAATGTGAATTCCTTCCTACTTTAGGTACCCCCCTTTCAATTCTAAGTTTTAGGCTGACATAGAGAGGAAAAAAGTTTGGGGGAATTTATATCAGAAAACTGAAGTCATGGAATATGTGTGGTTAAATGATTGTACAGTAGTTAACTTTGCTTTAATTCAATCTGTGGAAATCAACAAGACCTACACCAGTCTTCTGTGATTTAGCACTCTCCAAACATCTTTTAAAACTCTCATTAGTCACCACCTAATTCTTTCAACACAAATGTAGTAGTAGCAGTAGCAACAGCAGCTGTAGCCATTTGAAAGTGGTGAATTTTCACCTTTTTCTCCTTTTCATTTTAGTCACCTTACTTGGACCTCCATCTCTATCTGTTCATACCAATGTACCTACATACATAGCATGCATTATGCAAGTCAAATCCAAGCCAATATTTCTTTAAAAATGTTTGCCCCTCCCTCACGTGCCCCCTTTCCCTTGTTTTCCTTTTTTCCTGATCTGGGCATTAAGACTAGATGTCCCAGCTATACAAGGTAGCTAAGTAACTTTGGATTCTTAATAATTAGATATTTACATATTTAGGAAATAAGTATCTGCAGCAATACATATATCCAGCAATCTGCTAATGCCAATACTGTAAAATATATTCTAAAAGAAAAGTGCTATAAATGGGGTTAGCTTGAATTGCCTATGGTATTGACGGGCAATTTACTACTTCCACAAATCATTTTCTGCTCTTGTACATATGTGTGGAGGAACCTCTGCCTCTTCTGGCTGTAATTCTTTGGACTTGCATCCTAGTTCCATCTCTAAAAAAACAAAACTGGTGTAAATGTGCAGGTAAGTAGGCCACGTAGGTAGGAGTGCTTACTACTACTATTGTTGGAAGTGGGTTGAAAAGAGTAATTATGTGCTCAGCCTCAGAAGGTTAAAAGCCCCTCAGAAAAACCATAAAGAATTTATATCTTGCTGAACATCCTGAAAAAAGCAGCATATTTCAAAATCATATAGTGGGAAATATCTTGCAGTGGACTTGTTGGTTATTTACTTGCAATTTTCCTGATGAGAGTCCATGGCTGAAAATTGAGCTTTCCATAGCTTCCATGTTGGCTTCTGCAAATGTGAACACACATCCTGTGTGTGATGTATGTGTATGGAATGCATCTTAATACTTGCAAACATTTCATGATGTGCCTTTTCATCGCCACTTGTTTTATTTTAAAACCTTAATGAAGATCATAGCTAGTGTTGACATTACTATCAGCTAGACGGTGTATTTTGAGTAATCCTAAGCGGCTTGTTATTCCTCACATTGTCTAGTTTCCTGCAATAAATTTAAAAGAGACATGTTAGGATATTTAGTCAGTCTAGAAACTCACATTTTAAAGGGGCGACTGGAGGATTGTATTAACTGAGCTGCATGGATTGATTTCTCTCCCAAACAGACTCTGTATAAATCAAATCCAGACAAAGAAATACATAGGCAGAAGACTACTTTAAAGTTAGAACACTAGGAAGTTCAATCACCTGGGTTTGACTGCTGGTGTCCAAGCTCTCCCAAGGGTTCCTCAGTGACGGTTCCTAAGGTTCTTTTGGCTGAAGAATGTATTTAGACCTTTAGAATATTCATTGATTCATTCATCCTACCTTTATTATATTTATAAATAATTCAAGGTAGCAAGCCTATTTCCCCCCCCCCCCAATAATAATCGCATGAGGTGAATTGGATTGAGAGAGAGCGACTGGCCCAAACTGACCCAGCTGGCTTTCATGCCAAAGGGAAGACTAGAACTCACGGTCTCCTAGTTTCTAATCTTGTGCTTTAACTAGAGCAAAGTGGCTCTCATACATTGTATATGCCTGATCACGAGTACTAGCATTAATGTGGATGTGCTTTTTCCATTTAGGTACACTGGGACTATAATTCTTGGAATTCCATCGAGCAGGTGGGCAGAGAGTAGCACTGCTAACAAATTTGGGGGTCACTAGTTCAGTACAGATAGCACTGAATGTACACAAGTCAGTTGAAAGTTTTTGCAGTAAAACACTTCTGTATCTGCACAATAAGATAGGCTTATTTAGGTTTTGTTGGCTTATCACATATGTAAACCCAATTCTTTGTATGATCTGAACCCAAAAAATATTTAGTGTGAACCCAGAAAATAGACTAATATGAGCAGAGTTAAGATGGCAATATGAATACGCAGTATTCTAAACCAAGTTTCTCAATCACAATAACTTTTAAGATGTGTGAACTTCAATTCCCAAGATTCCCCAGCCAGCATGATGAGTTAAGAGACACTGTCCTAAACCATTAAGACATACATACATAGTGGTCAGAACAAAAATATGTCTAAGGCATTTCTAGATATGTTAGCCTGCAAACTCCAGAATGTTCAAGGCCTATAACAAGAACGGAGGTTTCTAGGATCAGCACTCCAGAAAGGTGCCAGATTGTAGAAAGTGAATTGAATACTGAATTCAATTCCCAATTGACAAATAGGTTTCATTCAAAGCCACTGGCAAATCCACATGGGGTTTTATGAATAAGCCAACCTGATTTAAAAGCCTTTATGGGGAGGGGGGGAACAGCACCTTGGGTATGAGTGCAGGCACTCTGCTAGAATGAAAGCAGTCTTGACAAGATGGGTATTAACAAGGTAGGTGATAGAGAGATGGCTCATTCTTTGGCTTTCTGATTTTGAGCATTGCTGGAATTTTCCTCTCTACAGGAGCAAGTTTTGCTTGTTAAATAGTGCAGGTCAGCTCTCTCTATAGTGCTTCAAAAACTCAATGAAGATTCATCTCATGGAATTCCTGAATGGGGACTGTTAAAGAACACCATCCTAGTCTATAGTGAATATAACTCAAGCCCTGACCATCTCCCATTTTTGCAACAAAATAGCAAACCATAGACATCTGTTGTGCTGTCAGAGATCAGTGAACACAAACGCTCCCACTATGCCTACGGCACATCATATAAGATCATAAATGGGGACAGGAAAAATTGATGAGGGTCCATGAATGTTCACACTCCCTTCTTAATTTTGCAATCCTCTTTGGAGGATTTATTTAATAAATTAGTTTATTTACTTATTGGATTGATAAAGCCATCAGACCTGGAGAAAAGTGACTCTGGATTGCACACAAAATACATAAAAGTAAAGTGATAAATTCTACTACATAAAGACAAATACATAAAGATAAAGTTTAAGGGCAATCCGAAGTAGAATACTTGCAATAGCACAACTGGGAGACGACAAAGGCAAGATGATAGCCAATCCAGGAACAAGTATAATTGGCATACAAGATGAAGCTTGGTGAAGGTCCTCCCAACCATAGTCATCACTTGCACTTTGAGGAGGAGCTGAGAACAGGAAACACCCACCCTCTCTCCTTCCCCTCCTCCCTCCTCCTCCTCCTCCTCCTCCTCCTCCTCCTCGGTTTCAGGTAGAAGTTAAGGAAAAGAGGAGAGAGTCCTGAGGTACCTCCACAAAACAGGAGTCTAGGATTAGACCACTCCCCCTCCCAGTGCCAACTAGAACTGCCTGGAGGAAGGAGGAGGATCATTGTAATATTGTGTCTCTTGCAGCTCCCTAGCCAGTGCAGAAGTAAACCACGCTCAGTGGTATAAAAAACTGCTGAGAGATCAAAGAAGGCCAGGATCAATGCATTCCCTTCGCAATCCTGATTCCCTTCAAAGGTCATCAAGTGTAACTAATGCTGTTTTTATGTCCTGGTCTGAATGCAGATTAAAAAGGGTCCAGATAATCTGCTTCCCTCGGGATCCTTTGAACTATCTTAAAAGGGAAGGTTGGGGACAGGATGCAAATCATGTTAGATCCAGCAATGATTTCTTGAGGAGGAGGCAGACTATATATGAGCTGGATGTTGATTTTTAAGAATTCACTCTGGCATTGTAAAGACTAGTTATTTTCCTATTCAGGGATAGTCAACCTGTACTTAGCTCCCAAACTTAAGTGTTTAAAAATAACCACATGGCCACACAAAAATATTTAATAGAAAATAAAAACCCTAGATGGTTGGAGGGCAGAACTCAGTTTGAAAATCTGCTGCCGTGCCCAGAAAATGAATAAAAGCAATCAGGAACTGTAGAAAAGTGAATTATATATATTATAAAAAGGGAGAGCTGTAGGTAGCTTTTTGGTAAATTAATGATTTTCAGTAGTCCCCATGGGGGAAGTCAAGAAAACCAAGAGGGTCTCAACAGAAGTATAATCAAAGACTCCCACCCATTTTGTACATGAGTAGGGCTTTGATTGTGTGGGCCCCCATGTTGACTTTTTTTTAAAAAAATCCCTTCCCTGGACGTGTCTGATGATTTTAGATTTTAGACATTCCTAGGCACCAAATGGCTTGACTCATCTACTTCTGTTAGGAATTTCAAATACCATCTTATTTCTCTGTTTTCTCCAACTTTTTGAGCTTTATAGTTATAATTTCCAGTCCTGGAAAAGTCTTTTTTCTTTTCTTGGATATTTTCACTCAATTTATACAATAATTGTAATTATTTCATATAGTTGCTATCATATAGCAACAATTGTGTAAAATTATATTTAAGCCTTAAACAGGAGTGCTGGCTGATGGAGTGCATTATCACTGCATTTTCTTTTTAATTGCATTTTCTTTTTAGAAATCTTTTCCGTTTTGGTACCCCCTAAAATTTGGTGCCCCTAAACCAGTGCTTACTTGACCTACAATCTATAGTTGGCTCTATTTGTAAGTAACCATGTCATTGTATAAATGGTTAAATCCCTTCAACTCTTATGTTTTTCAGTCTCAGCATCTTTAAGATATATGGACTTCATCTCCCAGAATTTCCCAGCCAATATGTTGGAAATTAAATTTCACACTTCTTAAAACTGGTGAGGTTGAAAAACACTGCTTCAGTGCCTAGTAATCATTTTGCAGGAGCATCCACAAATTGTTCTTAAAACCTTTATTATACATCTGGGCAAGAAAAACTACACAACATACAGACCTTCCCACTCCACAGTCCCCATCCTAACAATTTTCTGTAAGATCAGCAATTTCAGATCTGGGTTTTTGTTAGAAAACATTTATAATGGTGACATTTGTATGCCTCTGTCTGATTTGGGAGAAAATAAAACAAAAATAAGTGGACAATGTATCATTTGAGTAGATGTTGCAGACGCTTTCCAGAAATTGCTGTTATAGAGGGCGCAAGCGGTCAAGCCTATATGGGTGAGCAGGTGGATATATTCAAATACTAGCAGCTGAAGTAGTGGCTGGATCTTAGCTACCTTCATTCTCCCATCCTGATGCCCCTACCACCCTCAAGCTTCCCATTGTTTATTGGGAGGGGCAGGAGAGAACACTTCTGAAGAAGCCCTGCCAGCAGCTTCACACCATTACTTTTCTTTTCTGAGAGAGCCCATGTGAGAGGCATGCAGGAGTATTTTAAGAAATAAAGATATACTAGAGGGCTAGTTCCCCTCCCCCCCCCTTTTTAGCAATTCACCAACTTCTCTATAGTTGTTTTTATTGATATTATTATTTAAGGAAAAGACTGATGCAGGGAAACTGACAAGTGTCCAGAAAAATATCTTGGGCACACACTGTCCTGGCCCTCAGTATCCATAAAACAAATACAAAGCCACACCTTTGTCCAAAGGATCTTGGTCTAGGTAGTGTTTTATACTTACTCTTGATTTGATACTGGAAAACGAGAAGTGTTTCTCACATAATTCCTGGAATTCTACAGAAGAAAACAATTTTAAAAAAGTGACTGTGATGCCTCAGTAGCCTGAGAGAACAGCTGAAACACCTTATAACACTTTACTACCTTGCATCAGTTTTAGCAAAAAAATAAAAATAAAAAAAATGGCCACTTCAAAACTGCTGACTGCAGTTCCTTCAGTTTTCTTGGCAAGATTTAGAAGATTTTTTTTTGCTTCCTTTTTCCTAGGCCTGAGTGTGGCTGAAGATCACCCAGCTGGTTTTGTTCCTAAGGCAGGAGTAGAACTCCAGTCTCCCAGTTTCAAGGCTGATGCCTTAACCATTATGCCAAACTTTCTCTCTTTCACAAATAGCACCTGTTTTAAGTAAGAAGGATCTTCATTTGCATTTCTATTGCACCAGTTTATTCTTGCTGTGAAACAATGAATTTATGGGAATTAAATATATTCTCAGATACATAGGATAATTATATTGAGTGATTCAACAGAAGCTCAACCTACCAACACCTTAACATATTGTCTCCCTCCCTGTGATGAATTGCAATCAGTGACCGAGTCTTCTCTTAGACAAGGAAAGATTCTTTTTTTAAAAAATAAAAGTTTTATTGGTTTTTTCCCCATTTTTTTATACAAAAGCTTAGGACACAATGTGGTGGTCAGAGTGTCAAATCATTCAAAAACAAAGTCATATACGTATAGCTCAAATTAATTATAAACAATTTGCTCTCTGTAAGGAATAATGTTACTTATTAAAATTAATACAATTTTAGATAAAGTTCAATCAAACAAAAATCCTCAATCACCTTGCAATTATGATCATCTATATCCTGTTTTAAGCTTTACTAACTGAAATTGTCTTATTCCAGTAACATTTCAATAGACATATAGTTGGGATTTCAGGTATCCTTAATAATAGATGGTTCATTAAAACTAATTTTTTCCTCTATCACAAGTGGCTCTTACTCTCTCTCTGTTACAGCCTATTTTTCACGTTTAAAATAACAATATAAATCCAACAATTACAGTTCTATTTTTTAAAAATATATTCTATCATTTCATCAGTTCCAAAAAAAAGCACGTATCTATTTTTGAACACGTGTTCTATCATTTCATCATTCTACGTCTATAAAATCTTTTTAACCCCTAAACAATTTTGCTCCCTAATACTTATCAGCTATGATATCAATCAATTCTCATCCTTCTTTCATTATTAAATCAGACAAAATCTCTAAAGCCTTTTTAACCCATCAAGTAACGTTTTATATCACATTTAAACCTGACTCTAGGTTTCTGACAAGGAAAGATTCTTGATGATTTCACACAGAGATGACTTTCTTTGGGGTGGGGCTTTCAGGATTTCAGGTAACAGTTAAGTTAACCATTGAAGAATGGAAGGGCTGACTAATGGTTCTCAAAGATATTTTTTAAGCAAATCAGCTTTAAAAAGAAGAAAAAGACATTGGCAAAGAATGTCCCAGACATGGAAGAAAGACTAAAACTGGGCTGTGTTTATACAATACATCAATTCACAAATCAGTCAATCACATTTTACTCTAGCATGACATCCCAAACCAGAAAAATGGGTCAAACAAGCAAACCATGTTTAAAGTAAGCATGGGGAAATATGTCATGCAAACATTGCCTTGAAGTTCCAGCGAAAATCTGTGATAATGCATTTCTGCAGTCTCTGTTTTTCATATGAGAAACAAAGAAGCAACATTTTTTTTTTCCTATTTTCCCTAAGACAAAAGTTGCAGCTGGGCCATCTGCCTTCTTCTCATTTCTGTGGGAGGCTTGTTGACATTAAGGAGATGCTGCTTGACTTTGGGAAGCAATTTTAATTCCTGCAAAGAAACTTAGGCTGGCAGCATTTTACCCTAACAAGACTAAGAAGGAGGGGAGAAGGTTCCAAGGTGACATGGAGGATGCAAACCCTGTACCTCCCTTGCTGCTAATGACATAGTAAGAACATTTGCCTCCTACATAAGCACGTCAGAAATTGGTTCTCCCTACCTCTCCTTCTTTCCCCATCCCAAATGATGGCATTCTCAAGTGCTAGAAGAGAATTACAGTGCTAATGAAGTTAGAAGAAATCTATTTTTATTGCTTGGATATGTAGATATTAGACAACTTTTAATCAAAGTCTTGGGCTCAACTTATTTTCTAGTTTCAGTGTGATTGCTTTTAGAATGAGAGAATGTAATGCTTCTTGAGTTTGCACCAATGCCCCAATTTAGGAGCATGTTTACAACTCTATTGTTCCATCCCCTAATTGATCAAAAGCAGTGTGAAGACATTTTAGCCAGTTTCAGAATCTTAAGAGCAAAGGAGTCACTGAATCACTGCCCTGATCTCCTAATATTAGTTGTGGGCATTTGTCTGGAACAGTTGCAAAACAATCTGTACTTGTGATGGGGTTCTGCAAAGTCAAGCTTCCCCTAGAAAGCCCTGCTAGGATCTGCTTACTCTTCCTGTCCAGAAGTTAGAGGGTGAGATGAAAAATAGTCTTGCAAATTGAGAAACAGATTGCCCACAAGTTCTATACAGCCACAATATTTCAAAGAAAAGATTAGTTTTACTTCAGTTTCAAAGACCTCCTCAGATGAACCAGAAATAAATTGGTTCAGCTGCCAAACAGAGATCACAGCATGAGGTTACAGTCTGTCTTTTATCTCTGTGTTGTTACTGTTCAGACTGGGGTGGGTGGAAGAAGCAAACTGGGTAAGTACAGTGGCACAGAGAGAAAAAACTCTATATTTTGCTCTTTTAAAAAACTTTTTTCTAGTTTTATGTATTAAACTTGCTATATTGCTGCCCTCCATTGTTTCACTTGTGAGAATATTCTTAGATTTCTGTAATTTGTAACATGGCATCCTCCAGATGGTTGGGGATGATGGGAATTGATGTCTGATTCATATAGAGTTCCTCAACTTTGGCAACTTTAAGATGTATGGACTTAAGTTCTCAGAATCCTGGGAGCTAAGTCCACACATTTTAAATTTGCCAATATTAAGAAACACTGAGGATATAGAGGATACCAGGTTTGAGAAGGCTGAGGTTACACTAATAAGGGCCTTCAGATTCTTACATTGCTCTACTGGTGAGACATGGAAAGCTGAACTTTTGAAACCCTGGGAAAGGATGCACTTGCCTGCCAATCCTTTTCGCATTGCTTCCTGTCATAGGTTGCCTTTCTGTCTCGAAGTCTTTTAAGAATTGCCTGGTTCTCCAGAGTAATCCTTACAAGTTCTATATTCTGCTTCTGTCGGAACACACTGCAAAACCCCAAAAAAGCTCATGTAAGATGTGAGGGTTAACACTGTAGTTCTCCAAAGTGGTTAATATTGACACCCAAGGTTTGATGGGACTATCTACAGGTGAAACTTGAAAAATTAGAATATGTGCAAAAGTTCATTTATTTCAGTAATGCAATTTAAAAGGTGAAATTAATATATGAGATAGACTCATTACGTGCAAAGCAAGATAGTTCAAGCCGTGACGTGTCATAATTGAGATGATTATGGCTTACAACTCATGAAAACCCCAAATCCACAATCTCAGAAATTAGAATATTGTGAAAAGGTTCAATAGTCTAGGCTCAAAGTGTCCAATAACACTTGCAAAGGGTTTCTGATCCTTTGAATGGTTCAGTAGGAATCACAATCATGGGAAAGACTGCTGACCTGACAGTTGTGCATAAAACCATCATTGACAACCTCCATAAGGAGGGAAAGCCTCAAAAGGTAATTGCAAAAGAAGGTGGATGTTCCCAGAGTGCTGTATCAAAGCACATTAATAAAAAGTTATGTGAAAGGGAAAAGTGTGAAAGAAAAATGTGCACAAGCAGCAGGGATGACCGCAGCCTGGAGAGGATTGTCAGGAAAAGGCCATTCAAAAGTGTTGGGGACTTTCACAAGAAGTGGACTGGGGCTGGAGTCAGTGCATCAAGAGCCACTACACACAGACGGATCCTGGACATGGGCTTCAAATGTCGTATTCCTCTTGTCAAGCCGCTCCTGAACAACAAACAACGTCAGAAGAGTCTTATCTGGGCTAAAGAAAAACAGAACTGGTCTGTTGCTCAGTGGTCCAAAGTCCTCTTTTCTGATGAGAGCAACTTTTGCATCTCATTTGGAAACCAAGGACCCAGAGTCTGGAGGAAGAATGGAGAGGCACACACTGCCAAAAGCACCAAAACCTGGTTCAATGACTGTGGGATTACTGTGCTTGATTGGCCAGCAAACTCGCCTGACCTGAATCCCATAGAAAATCTATGGGGCATTGCCAAGAGAAAGATGAGAGACATGAGATCGAACAATGCAGAAGAGCTGAAGGCCACTATTGAAGCATCCTGGTCTTCCATAACACCTCAGCAGTGCACAAGCTGATAGCTTCCATGCCACGCCGCATTGAGGCAGTAATTGCTGCAAAAGGAGCCCAAACCAAGTACTGAGTACATATGCATGCTTATACTTTTCAGAGGTCCGATATTGTTCTATGTACAATCCTTGTTTTATTGATTGCATGTAATATTCTAATTTTCTGAGATTGTGGATTTGGGGTTTTCATGAGCTGTAAACCATAATCATCACAATTATAACACATCATGGGTTGAACTATCTTGCTTTGCATGTAATGAGTCTATCTCATATATTAGTTTCACCTTTTAAGTTGCATTACTGAAATAAATGAACTTTTGCCCGATATTCTATTTTTTTTTTTGAGTTTTACCTGTATTATTATATGGTTTATTGCACAGTCAGCCAGATATTCAGACTAAGGACCTGGGATGTTGACGTTTAATGGTTTTAAAGATGTCATTGTAGGATGTAAGCTGTTCTGAGTATTATTTACTTTGCCTTTTGCAATTGATCAGTGATGATTTTTTTCAATGCTAATGGTTCAAGTGGTATGCCAGCTGTTTTGGGATTGTATCTAAGGTGCCTATCACTATTGATACTACCTTGGTTTTCTTTTGCCACAATCATTCTATTTCTTTTTGCAAGTTTTTGAATTTTGTTATTTTCTCCAGTTCCTTCTCTTTTACTCTGCTGTCTTCGGGTACTGTCATATTCATTATCTTTGTCTTTCTTATTTACAATTGTTAACTTTGGGATGTTATGTGGCAGGTGTCTGTCTATTTGAATTCTGAAATCACAGAATAATTTTGCTTCTTAGTTTTCTATTACTTTCTCAATTTTATGGTCCCATCAGTTCTTGTTTGCAGGCGAGTGGTATTTCTTCCACTATTGTTGCTACTTTGTCATGCCATTGCCTGTAGTCAGTCTATGTGATCTCCTGGCAGCAGCTAATCAAGTGTTTCCCCGTTTCTTTAGTTTCTTTGCAGAGGTAGCACTTGTTGTCTGTCACTGTCTCTCAGTTCTGATTTTATATGCATTTGTTAAAGCTTGGTCTTGTGCAGTCAGGATTAGCCTACATGTCTCTTTCTTCAATTTTCCTGCCATTGTGAGCTCTTGTTATTATTTACTTTGCTTGTTACTGGCCATGTAATACTTTATTTTCCTACATTTCTTTCTTATTGTTCATTTGGCCTTTCTTGTAGGCCATTTTGATCTCTCCAGTAATCAGTAAGCCTACCTGATAAACTAGTATCAGTGCAACTTCTTCATTGTTCTTCAGATATTCTTCCAATGCCCTTTTTTTCTTCAAAGGTCTGATGTTGCAACTTTCCTTGGTAAGTAGACTCTGTCAACATCACTGCAAGGATGAAGGATAGGATTCATTGTCATTATTTTTTCTGGCCTTCCTTTCTTGGACTTTTAATTCTGACTGAGTCTGGTCCACGATTCCAACTGTGTATCTAATGACTTGAATTGCTCAGTTGTTAATTGCCTAGATGGCGTTTCCTCCACTGAATTTGGACTTTAAGATTTTTTTTCACTCTCTTGATGTATTCATGCCTAACTTTTTTCTTGACTTCAGTGTGCTTGATGTTGTTAACTTGAAAGATCCACTAGTATTTATAGTGATCATCTTCATCCAGACTCTTGATATTATATCCATAAGACATCTTGATTCCTCCAGTTTTCACTATTTCCCCCCAGTTAATGCTGAGTATGTCCAGTTCAAACCCCATTGCAATATCTTGACTATATATTTGGACAGTATTAATCAATTATTCTGTTTCAGATGGTATTTTTTCCATACAGCTTGTGATCATCCATTTATAGGAGGTGGCCTGGCAGATATTTTTGATGATAGCCATGACCTGACTTGTTCAGTATTATTGACAGAGGAATCAGTGCAACAAAAAAAAGTAGTAGTGAGTTTCCTTGAAATATTTATGATATTAACCTCCTTTAATCTATCACCATTAACCAGTAACCATGTCTTCCATTGTACCATTGATCTTTGTTTCTGATGTTTCTACTGAATCTTGTCATTTCTAGGCACTTGATTGTCTATCCAGGGAGTCTAATCCTTCCATGTTACATTCAAGTTGGTCTTTTTTCTCTTACAATTTTCCAAAACTCATCTTGTCAATTAGGAGTCAATCTTTTATTCCTCTGCTATTTATTTTCTGCTCAGGTGGAAGGAACTTGTTTTCAACTAGATGTTATTGGACTGTACCACACGGGTTTGCAATTTGAAGGTTGTTGATAAGCAGCTGATCAATCTATAGTTGCCTGGTGCTGTTCCTTTTGCTGGTTCTTTCATTTTCAGGTAGGTTTTGCCAGATGTTAGTCATTCTTCAATTTCACCTCCTTGTAGTATGTTGTTAAACTGCTTGGCAATGAGTGATCAAATGTTTTAAGCAAAATCCATGCAGTTCATATTCACTAGGTGCTGACAAATTCTTGATCTTTCTTGCTCTTTTCTCCGACATTTATGCTATTATTATAATTTTTTTCATCTCACCTTTTTTATTCTTATCCACTTCCTTTAACCAGCTGTGTTCTTGTTGTATTTCTATGAGTTATCTCATATCTGTGCCCAAAACTGCATTGTTTCTTCCTTGTCAGAGGTTGACTGATTCACTGGAGTCTCTCCATTGATGGATTGGTAAAAACTTTCTAATTGGATTGAAATTGGAGACTCTGCCTATACTGTAATTTGCCATTTGAGTTTTGTATCTGTTAATATTCTTGGCTATAGGTATTATTTACTGCTTTATTATTTCCAGTGCTTCCTTGATCTTCATTTCTAGGTGATATTTCTTGATAAGGTCTTATTTGGTTTTCTTGTTCTTCAGCTTCTTTTCTTTCATCTGTTCTACCTTGTTTGTCTGTGATCTCAGCTTGCTGATCTCATTTTCCAACCTGATCTTCCATTTGGGTGAGTCACTGTTTGGTGGCTTCCTCTTCTTCTTCTTCTTCTTCTTCTTCTTCTTCTTCTTCTTCTTCTTCTTCTTCTTCTTCTTCTTCTTCTTCTTCTTCTTCTTCTTCTTCTTCTTCTTCTTCTTCTTCTTCTTCTTCTTCTTCTTCTTCTTCTTATTCTTCTTCTTCTTCTTCTTCTTCTTCTTCTTCTTCTTCTTCTTCTTCTTCTTCTTCTTCTTCTTCTTCTTCTTCTTCTTCTTCTTCTTCTTCTTCTTCTTCTTCTTCTTCTTCTTCTTCTTCTTCTTCTTCTTCTTCTTCTTCTCCTTCTCCTTCTCCTTCTCCTTCTTCTATTATTATTATGGTTTGTTGCACAGTTAGCTAGAGTAGCATGTATTAAAACATTTTCATATAATGTGGATTGATAAACAATTTGAAATTTTGTGAAGATGTTGATGAGCTAAAGAATTTGGGGATTCCTGATTTAGAGACATCCTCTGCTAAAATGAAGGAGGAGGGTGGTTTTGCTTAAGTAGCATATTTTCTTACCCTTTGAGCAAAGAAAGGAACAAGTGTTCCCTACATTTTTGCTGATTTTCTTTTATATTTTAAATTTTATATTTGACTCTTTTTCTTTCTTAATTTTTTAAAAATATTGCTGATGACAATACAGGTAGTTTTCATTTACAATAGTGATGAATATCTGTAGCTCGGGTGTAAGATGAGAGTGAAGGTTTGTTCTCTGAGCTTGAAGGTTGGTTTCCGAACGTTTCATTACCAGGCAAGGTAACATCTTCAATGGTGTTGAGTGAATGTCTGTGTCAGTGTTCTACTTATATAAGGGCTTCAGGTGTGGGAGTGTCAAGCGAGGGTATTGTGACGGGCCAGGTGTGAGTCATCAGAGAGAGACTTGTGATGGGGAGGTACTTCAGGTCAGGGTCCTTGGAGGATGTGAATTATCACTGAGTCAGGAGTGAGTCATCAGTGGGAGGCTGGTAATGGGTCTTGTGATGGGGAGATTATGTCAGGTCAGGGTCATTGGAAGGTGAACTGTTGGGCTTGAGGGTTGGCTGTTTGATTGATTTCAATTCTGGTTGTAGATCAATATTTCTGTTGACGGAATTGCTTGTGGAGTGCCAGGCTTTGATGAACTCCTGAGCGTGGCAGGTGGTAGCATGGCCAATGATTTTAGTGTTGCTCCAATTGAACTGGAGTTGCTTCAGTTGAACTGGTGTCAGTGTGGGTAATGATTAGGGATTTGGGATCATATCATTTGACTGTTCGTGGATCCTGGTTTTTAACTGATGTGATGTTGTCCCACGGAGAAATGGTTGCAATCGTTACAGTTGATTTTGTAGATGGCATTCTTGTTTCACCCTTCTGTATCTTGTCTTTCATTCTAAATAATTCCTGGTGGAGTGTGGCTCTGGGTTTGTGGGCTATCACTATTCCTTGGAGTTGGAGAATTCTGGCTGTCATTTTTGACACCCCTTTTATGTATGGTAGGGTTCATTTTTGCCTGGCGATCAGCTGTGTGGTGTGTGGTGGTTTGGGTGATGTGTGTTGGAATACAAAGGTTTGGGGGTAGCCATTATGGAGAAAGATGTCAAGCAGCCATTTTTCTTCTGCTTTTCTTAGTGCTTTGGTGCTGCAGTGTGTCCTGGCCCTTCTGAAGAGTTCTCACTTAACAACCACTCACTCAGTAACATTTGAACTTACAATGGAGCTGAATGATGTATTTGCCATGTGCTCTCCTACAATAGAAGCATTTCTGCTGGGATTTAGCAATGATTGCTCAAGCAGGCCTGGTCACCCAAACACTTGCCTGTGAAATGTGCAGTGGAGAAGTAGAATAAAATTTACACATCATGGCTTTGTGTCAAATTAAGCAGAAAAAGGGTGTTTTGCAATACAGAAAGGATCACTATAAGACTGCTTCAGTCTTGGACAGAGGGTAAGATAAGAGCAATGATGTATGATTAAAGAAGAAACACAGCATTATCAGACTAGTTTGGTGCTAATCTTCTATGGAAGTGACCAAAAGGCTTTCCTCTCCTGGTGAATTTTGACGGATGAAAATTAGCAGTCCAAAATAGTTCTTTCATTTTTAGGAAGAACATATGAATATTGTAGCATAATCCAGTTAAAAAGCCAAACCAATTTGTCTAATCCCTGTAATGCAGAATTTTTCAACTTGGATAACTTTAAGATGATGGACTTCAGCTCCACGCCAGCTGGAGAATTCTGGAAGTTGAAGTCCATTTATCTTAAAGTTGCCACGGTTGAGAAATACTGCTGTAATGAAATTGTTTGGCATGGTGCCACAGGCTGTCTCTTATTACCCAGCTACTACAGCTCTTTCCCCAACCCATGAAAGGTGAAAAGTTTCCACCCTCAGCGTGTTGGGGTCAATGTGAAGGAATGGTCAAGATGGAAACTGCAATTGTGCAATCGGAACATCTTTTTTTGTTTTGTTTTTGCATTTGTCATCATGCTATTAAAAAGGGGTAGGGCTTCAGTTGTGTAGGTGCAGCTGCCCTCTTGACTTTTTTGACACCCCTCCTCTCCCAGATGCCCCTAGGTTCTTCAGGCATCCAGAAGAACTGCTTTCCAACATAACCTTATGCCAGAATATTTGCTTGATAGTAGCTTAAATGCTGCAGTGGTGGCTGCTGCATTAAAACATTGCTAGGTCACCCCTGCTCACCTCTTTTGTTGGTACTCGTTCCAGCAATCAACCATACCTGAACCGTGGTATATATTAGCTAGACGTTTAGACAAGGATTTATTTTCTTGTTCAAGCTGCCCAATCCTCCGCTGGGCATCCTGTGGAAAGAGAGATCAGCTGGTTAAAACCATGTTTGTGTTTTGCTTCTCTTGTCGACTTCATCCCATGTTCCTAGCCCTGGGCCAACTTTGTTACACCTTTTTTCCCAACCATTTTCATTTAGCTTGATGGGAAGATCAAACCTATGATTCTCTCCCCCAACAAGTACATAGCAAAGCTTTCTGTATTTCCCTCAATAACAATGAAAATTGGGGCTAATTTTTTAAAAACGAAATGCAAATGTTTTAACTTCTTTCCCCAATTTAACTACAAAAACGCTAATTCCTTACTGCCACCTAGTGATCCTCTGGATTTGTACTAGATGGACGGATGGATGGTTGGACAAACAGACAGACTGACAAATAGTTTTATGGTATCAACTGGTTACTTTGATTTCTGAAACAATATAAGATGCAAGTAATAACAAGAACAAAAATAATTCATTTTATTTCATTTAAGCTTCAAAAATCTATATATCAAAAAATAAAATGATATAAGCTAAAAAATAATAAAGAAAAAACAATAAAACCATAGAAAATGAAACGGCAAAATGGGAAAAAGCAGCCACTATAAATCATGAAAAAGAAAAAAACTAATGTATTATAATACAATGCAATTGACATTTTTAATTTGTTTCACTTCCATTGCTTTTCTATATTACAGTAATATTATATCAACATGAATTACAATTCAATTTTCCAACGATGAGTGGAAATATGTAGAATCCCAGGTCTCCCTCAAACCTATTAACCCCAAAATCATACGGCTTTGTCTTCCCCAATCTGGTGGGATCCAGTTATGAATATTCATGACAGCTTTCTGGTAGTTGGCAGCTTTCAAACACATCTGGAGGGCAACCACTTGGGAGGGCTACTACAGATTTAATCATAACTAAGAAGAGAAAGAAAATTACATGAGTCCCTTGAGTTAGGCCAAGGAAAGGTCATGTGATGTTCTCAGAAGACTGAAAGTGTCATCAGCTTTCGCCAACTTAGCCAGAGATAAGTAATGATAGAAATAGAAGTATAGAGCTTTCAGAAAACTCTTGTACATTTTTTCCTTCTCTATGACTGTGGATGTTGCTATCTTTTCTTCTCTCACACTTCCTACATGTAATAATTTCATTTATAACTTTGGGCAATCATTCTGCTAACATAGGAAAGAATGTTTGGTAAAATTCTAGAAAGGGAAAAAATCTGAAGGGATTTTTTTCCTTCCAATTTAATATCTTAATTACATTGCTTCTTTTCTGAGGATCATTTGGATTCTCTGTCCTATCTTGCTCCACAATCTTGGGACATTTTAAATTCTGAGCAAAAGAGAGCATTTGGTTAGCCTTACCAAAAGAGCATAAATCTAAATAATAAGCTCTTTCAGTTCCTATTTTTTAATCACAGTTCTGAACAATACTGTTTTAAGGGTATGATTTATTTTTAGGATGAATACATTTGATATTGCTTCTGTAATAAAAGATCCAGAAATAATTGTATCCTGAGAAAAGCTGGAGGTGTCTCTAATATTGTCAAGCTCTTGGGATCTGGTTTACTTCTAAATAGATCAAACTGGGATGGAAAATTTTTGAATGCTGACCTAGCATTAGATGAAGATGATCTGTCTTGGAACTTGGTTATGATTTGTTAACCATGGTTTTATAAGTAAATCACAATATCTAGTAACCTTGGGAAACGTCACATCTTTTTAGAGTTTCAGATAAGAGTAGTTGCCATCTCTATTAGTTTGAAATGGAGGCTTTCTGTATTTAAATAATGGATTTATTGTTTAGCTGTTATTTTTCTCTGTTTTGAAATTGTGAACTATTTACAGGCCTTCCCATAGACAAATAGGTAGGGTTACCAATCTTTATTGCCATCTAATGTTCATCTGGACATTTGAACCCTGTATGTGCTAGGCCAAACTGACATCTTATTAGCTCCATTGATTAATTACAAGAACCCAGCTTTATAGGTGGTAACAAATGAAACTTAGAACAAGCATGTATTGCTATCTAATTATCTTCATTTTTTTTTCTTTTCTAAGAAAAGCAGTTTCAGTCCAGAAGTATTGTGGGATGAATATTAACCCTTTCCACACTGCTGATTCCTGGACTCTCAGCACTTGCTGCTATGGATTTTATGCCTGTGCTTGCACTGTAAGACCAAATGTAGAATTTGTTTCCAAAGAAACAAATCCTTGATTTAAGATAGTCCACTATTATTCTACAACAATAAAATATTAAGTTGAAAAATCTCAATTGCCTCAATGATTGTATTCTCAGTAAACATTAGATAGTATCCTGTTTTAAAGTTAAACTATTTGGGGGAAGGGGAAACAAGTTTTTCAAGAAAAGTAAATAAATCATATTTGGTATCTAGAATAGGGAGTGCAGAGAAAAGTTAAGGATTCTGTATGCTGCTTCATTTTTATGGGGCAGAAGAGAAAAGGAAGTGAGAAATACCAATATTTAAGTATGAAAGATCCCCTGGGTAGCATCCATAACAAAAGGAGGTTCCCTTACCTGTATCCTAGAGACCTTGAAATAATGATGAATCTGTGCATCTGGAGAACTATTATCTACCTTGCTCCTGGCTGGAGAAAGCAGATAAAATATTTGGGTGAAGATACATTGGCAGCCCCACTAGGTAGACCAGACCAGAAAATCAACTCCGCCAGAAGATTAGAGCTGCACATCATTAAGGTAGGCTACAATAACAGAATCTTGAATTATGGCCTAATTGTGGGTAAATACCTCTTAGCTATACTATAATCTGATTCATTCACATTTCTGTGATATCAGAGGAAGGTTTATCATATCATGTATCCTCATGGCTAACTTAATTATGGTTTTGTCAGTTAACCAAATGTTTTAGGTTTGCACATCAAAGCAAATCTAAGACTCTGTTCAAACAACATATAAATTAAAATACAGTTAAGCTATTATTATTCTGTATGATTCTGTATAGTGTAGAAACATAATGAGTATGAGCCTTGCAAGCTAACTATGATTAACATATGCAAGAACTATATGAAAGAATCCAATAGAACACTAAGCAATGAATTATTAGGAAACCCAGCGAATGGAAAGATAGGCAATACAGGTAGTCCTCGACTTACAACCATTCATTTAGCTAATTTGAAGTTACAACAACACTGAAAAATGTGACTTATGACCAGTCCTTACAATTATGACTATCACAGCATCCCCATGGCCATATGATTAAAGTTTGGGCACTTGACACCTGGCATGTATTTACAATGGTTACAGTGTCCTGGGGTCATGTGGTCACTATTTGCAACCTTCCCAGCCAGCTTCTGACAAACAAAGAAAATGGGGGAAGCCAGTTTTGCTTAATAACTGCATGATTCGTTTAACAACTGCAGTCAGTCATTTTACAATCATGGCAAAAAAGGTTTTAAAATCAGACATGACTCCCCTTAAAACAGCTTAGCAACAGAAATTATGTTCCCCATTGTGGTTGTAAGTCAAGGACTATTAGTAGTGATTTATTCAAAAGCCCTCTTTTACAGTTTGTTTTGTTCTATCTTTGACAAGATGTGTGGATATTAACACAGTTGGTCTAAATGGAATAGGCAGTCTTATTATTTTTGAAAATTATGATTAATTGAACAGTAATCCTTTGAGAATTATAGGAAATAGAGAAAGGTAGGTTGTAGATATGGAATATCTTACTAGACATTCAACAATTGTTGAATATCCAAACAATTGTTTAGATGCCTAAAGATCCATTTGCTCCAGCTGCTCTTTGCATAGAGTTTAATGTGATTGTTTCTGTGTGGTTTTGGACTGGTGCAGTGATTTTAAGATATAGTTGTTTGATACTTTCTGATATTTTAATTTTGTGCTTTGCAAGCCCCTTTGAACAGTAGAAATATAGTCCTCAAGTCTAAGTACAAATAAAAGCTAATCGCAATAGGACAGCCATGCTTGTGAGCAGCTATCAGGAGGTGATGGAACTGTAATAATGGGGGAGAGAAGCAACTGCAAAAGGGAGTAACCACTTGGGGAAGCATAGGAAATAATCAGGGGGTGGATGAAGATTTTTGCAATTATTAGAACAAAGTCGATGTTGATGAATACATGGCAAGAGTAGGTTAGCTTTTCTTCGTTTTGTAGAAAAATGTACTTCCTCCCACATACATTGCCTTTCTATCGTGTCATCTAAACTAGTTTTAGATTATACATATTTTTTGGGCTCCGCTTTTTTCTTGCTCTGTTCTACTTTTAGTAAGTCTCCTACCTGATTAAGTTCTAAATTCTGTCAAACAACTTCAAAGAAGCATAGTTTGTATAAGACACTAAGGGGTGGGCAGACAATTTGCAGATCATACTAAGCTAAAATAAAATAGGCTGGGCAACTGTTTGCCCTTTAAACTAAATCCCAGGAGCTGAAACACAGTAAAAGACATCAGAAAAACGGGTGGAATAGGGAAAAAGAAAAATGGCCTGAGGATTGTGCAATTGGCCAACAATGGCCCCTGTGGCTTACTTAGAATGAACAGGATCAAACCCGCTAGGTTACATTTTAAAAAAAAGTTTATGGAAGCTTAAGTCTCATATTTCACCCGTAAAAGCTCCACCCTCTCCATGGTTTCAGACCCATCTGTTTTCAGAATGTGGCCCTTGATTTGCTTTAAAGTAGACACACATTCCGATTCAAAACAAGCACAGACACTATTACTTGGGTCATTTTCTTCCGTCTTTCATTCTGTGCACTTTCTAACAAGCTCTCGCTTATTGTTTGTAACCACCTCCCCCCATTTCTCAATCATGTCAGTGGGACTGTTAAAGGCTGACAGACAATCTTTGATTGTTTATGTTGAATACAGACCCAAACAGAAAGCCATAAGGCTGACTTTGACTTTGAAATAAGTTTGCCTCAGTCTTTTCTATAGATTTTAACCCTAAGCAAAAGAAGCCTACCCAATTCTATTTTGCCTCGAAAAGTGAATTCTCCTGTGCGGGATTTATTCTTTCCCAAGTTGAGTCTCTGCCTGGAATTGGCAACGACCACGGGGAATGTAACGACTTCTAAGCTGCTCATCTTTGCACAGCTGCTCTCTCTTCTTAGATCCCAAACAAAAAGACAAAACTCTGGGCTTGGCTTTTGCATCACCCCTCCCCTTTGGCCAAGGTTGCCATAGATGCTCCAGTGTGACATCACGGACTCTGAAATGCCATAAGAAGACAGCATTGTGTCACAAGCTCCCTGTCATGGGTTGCATTCAAATCACATCCCAATTGTTGTGACATTGCTCAGAGGCAAAGCTTCAGCTTAACCTCTGTGGGAAGAAAAATTCTATATCACCCTTTGCCTTCCATGCTGCACACCAACTCCATCCATCCCTGACCTGCCAGGGAATCCTTAGACAAAAAAAAAAAAAAGCCTTTCTATCGATTCTGAGGCCTAGGCTGAAACTGATTATTACAACTGGCAATTAAAACCAAGGAAAATTGGCTCAAGATATAAACATTCAAGAAACAAAATTGACATTTGGGAAGTTAGCTGAGTTATGCATCCATACCTCACCAGTGACCTACCTAAGGAAAAAAACAGAATGTCTGTGAGATGTCAATTCTATCTCTCCTCCAAGAGCTTTAGATCAGTGTTTCTCATCCTCAAAAACTTTATGATGTACGAACATCAATTCTCAGAATTCTGCTGGTTGGGGAATTCTGAAACTTGATGTTCAGACATTTGAAAATTTCCGAGAATGATAAAAACTGCTTTAGATGGCACACATGGGATGCTTTCTGTATTTTACCCTCACAATAGTAATGCTGGGTGGGAAACAGGTGAGAAAGAAAGTGATTGGCTGTAGTAAGTTTCCACAAGTGACGATGAACTTGAACCTGGACCCAAGGCAGTTCAACACAGAATATGGAATGATGGATAGAACGATGATGTCACAATGGAAAGATTTCTCTTGTTAGTAAAGATACCAGAGGAAAAAGGATAATTTTATGCAGAGAGTAGAATCAATGGGAGGAAGCAAGTGGATCTCCTTCTAATAAGGAGATCATAAAAAAATAGAAATGGTTAAGGTCAGGTGGAAAAGAAAAATGGGAATCCATCTCTAAGATAAGGTGAACATGAATATTCATCCTTTGTGTTTGAGTCACATTATGCTCCATGCCCCAGCAGATCCTTTTTTGGGGGGGAGGGAAGATTTTTCAGTTAAATGGATAAATATGCAAGGAAGCTGGTGTACTACAAATCAGTGGTCTCAACCTTTATCTTGGAATTAAAGACAATAGGCAATGTACTTTGTGTCTATTGTTTGAAAGTATGTTCATCTGGTAAATGAAAGATTTCTAAGTCACCATGCCAACTATGCTGGCTATTTTATAAAAATAGGGCAAAGGGCAAGGATCCCTAATTTAAGGTTCAGTTTCCTAACCTTTAACAAATATTTAAAAACATTTGTACTGGATATATTGCATGATAGGGGAAGAAAGGCAAGTTTCCAGGCCTTTTTCAGTTAACTCTTCTTAGATGGGTAGTCTTCAGAAAGAGATGGAGACCTAGACAGCTCAGATAGGAAAAAATCCTTGAGCAAGGAATGTCATGTGAAGCTCAAAATGCTCATGATGGTGTGTCCAGAGTCCCCAGCTCTTCCTTCTCTCTTACATTCAAGTCAAATTTGATTTCTGGTGACTACCTGGACACATCCCTCCAGTTTCCTAAACAGCAGTTTTGGAAATAGTTCACTACTGCTTCCTTCCCAGGGCTGAGAAGGATTGGCCCAAGGCAGTAGTGGGATTCAAATATGTGAACAACTGGTTCTCTGTGTGGATTCCGGAAGTCCATTCTGGGTGGGGCAACAAAAAATTAGCTACTGTTCTGCCAAAGTGGTGCAAACCAGCTGAATCCCACCATTGGCCCAAGATCACCCAGCTGGTTTGCATGTTTGATTGGCATCAGAACCCAGCTCTTAATCCACTCTCCTAACCACTAGACAAAACCAGGTCTCTATACAGTACATGTTATATAAATTACATAAATGTGACAATCTCCTTTGAGCTGAATTCAATTTTCATAGACAAATCCATGGAGTTCTCTCAGTAGGAACATGGCTATCATTCTTTTCCAACTCCCAACTGCCGGAAGCTCCTGATGTCTTGTCAGGAAAGTTGGGAATGTTGGCAGCAGCACACAGAAAGAAGTGAGGCACATAGAAAGGAGCATAGAAAGAGGTGAGGCTTTGATCTTCCAATTGCATTCATCATTTTCATATCCTTGACTACAGATCACCCTGATCCAATACTAACTAGATCTCATTCTGCTTTGCTTTATAAAATCTACCCAGTCTGCCAAATGCTGCTGTTTAGCCTAAAATTCTAGAGGTCAAGATATTGCTACAAATTTTCCTCTTCATTCACTTTCTTAAAGTATTGTATGTTCCATTACGCATATATGAAACTGATGGGCATTTGTGAAGGATTTTTCGTGGGCAGCTTCTTAGCAGTTGAATTCCTCTCTGGCAGTTTATTTGAAGTTTTGTTACAAAGATGGATTTTTGCTATGTTGGTCATGATTACAAATCCTTTTTCATTTTAATTACAATGTTTACATTTATCTACATTGATTTAGCTTCCCCACTTTAATGTAAATAATTCTGAATAATCTAAAGCTAAGTAGCAATTCAAAATGTATTAATTAGATAATACATTTTAAAAGGATTTTAATTATTATTTATTAAACACATTTATATAGCTGCTCATCTGTAAAAGAGCGATTCTAGGCAGTATACCATAATACAGGAATAATATTCAGAAAAGGTTTGAATAGCATATATATTTTTCCCTGACTGCAGTTTTGAATTAGTATGTTGTTTTATTGTTACATGATGGGCTCTCATTAAATAATTAATCATGGGTTTGCTGAGTAAGTAATCATGCTTAATCATAAACCATTGCATTCAATCCATAACAACTGGCTTCATGTAATGCATGAAATTGTATAAGATAGTTTCTTGTTCTTAGTTAACTGGTTAAATAAGAGAAAACCTTGTCAATATTTCATGAACTGGAGTGAATGGTTAAGAGGTCTCTCAGTTGGTAGACAATCTTTTTTAAAAAATAATATGCCATCACAATTTGGAGATGTTGACCGCCATCTGGAGGATGCAGCAAAAGAACTGTGTGTTATGTGCGTAACAGAAGCTGGCAGTCTGAAGGACAGAAAGAATACAAAGACTTTGAATTGGCAGAAGGTGAAAGGATCTTTGAGTGCACAGAATCTAATATTAAGAATTTTGTGGCTTGCTTGAGGAAGCTGCTCCCAAACTACTTTACTTATTTGTCAGCAGAAATTAGTATGCAAAGTTCCCTCATCTGAAGGAAATAAAATCTGCTGTACTCAGTTCAGTATATCAGAATGGATGGGCAACCTGTAATCCGAGGGGCACATGTGTGTTGCAAACCTCATTTGGTAGCTTTCAGAGCTTCCATGACTGTTCTTTGGCGGTTAATTCGTATCATGATTTTGCAACTTAATGCTGCGGATTCCTGCCATTTTTAATTGAGAATCATGTGAAAATTGTTGTTATGCTCTAATAATGTTCTTATAAACAGGTAAAATCTGATCTTGCTGAAAACTCCCAATGACTGGGGCTGGAGGAGGGGAATGAAAAATCCCAGTTCTTTATTTTTATGATCATCCTGTTTGTTGTTGCTCTTGGCTACTATAGGTTGTCCACCCAAGATGTTGTTTTCCTGATCAAATATGAGAAGGATAACGTGAGGCCAGGGACAAGAGCCATTTCTTAGAATCTTTGGCCTGGGTCTTTTTATTTGAACACATGGGGTATTAAGCAACAGAACAATAGGAACTGCAGGCATCTGTTTCTCTGTAAGATCTGCTTTCTGCCAATTTCACTCCTTCTCTTCTGATGTTCCAAAGCTCTGGAGTTTGCAGGATCCTCATGACAACTTCCTCAAAGGCACTTTGCACTCCAGCCTTCATTTTAGCACTGGCTTCTGGAAGTAGGAAAAAACAGCAAGAAGTGTCATTTGTCAAATGAAGTACAAGTGTCCAAATTCAGCCTCTTTGAACTCATCATCTTTCAGAGAGGTTGGCCTACAGTCCCTCAATCTTAGAAAAACATTATTCATGGTTAAAAATGATGGGAATTGGACAGTGTTGTTTTGAAGAAACCTTTCCTATTAAGTGGCAGGAGCATCACTCTTAGCTCCTCATCTACATTTAATGAAAAAAAATTGGGATAAAACGTGCTATGGATATACTGTAGTATTACAAATAAGTGTTATGGATCCTGAGCTACAACTCCAAATGCAATGCCAAGAAACTGTTTGAAAAGCGTACAGTTAAGCAGAAAACAGACAATGTAAGACATCAGAGGACATCTGAGGATAGTGGTCTGGAGAGTGGGGAGACAGATGGGGATTTAACAGAGAAGCAATCATTGTAGGAAGACAGCTATGATAATTCTAGGTTAAACAAAAATCAAATGGTGTCTGATAGCACCTTTTCCAACTAACACATTAAAAGGATTAAATTTAGGAGTTGGAAAAGATTATTACCAGATTTATTCAGATAGGACTATTAAATAAAGTATCTTCATCACTAAAATCCTATTATTGTTCAGCAGAAGATAAATATTCCTGCATCTGGGAGGTATTGCAGCAACATTGAGATGATTATATATATATCATCATGTACCTTGAAATGCTATTATTTTGGGGAGGAATCTATAAATCAATACAAGTGTATATTTTAGAGTGATATAAATATCAGGTTGCATATGAAATCTTTCTAGCTTGTTGCTATGCAGCGGCCTTTCCCCATCAGATTTCTCTTGATAAGAAATGCTATACTATCGTTATTCTAAACCAGCATCCATGGAAAACCCAGTTAGGAAAAGCCTGATTTAAAGTTACTTCTTGTGGCAGCATATTTCGGAAGACTACAAAAATATGAATCACCACTACAGCAATAAAGAGGTATAGAAGGCTCTTGTTGCTTCCACCTAGGGATTGTCTGTATGTTTTTAAACTAAATCTTATACCTATAGCCCATCCACTTTTGATATAATTTTAGAAGCATTAGTTTGACCTTGCAAACGACATTTTAAGTGCTTATAAAAGGTGTGGTCTAAAATAAGCACGTTCCTTTTAAATCCTCTCATCTCTTATTTTTCTGGCTGCTAGTTTTTCTTCACCATCTCTGGTGAACCAACGGGAATCTCTTCCCCACTGAAAGGAAGCATGAAGCACAGAAGGAGTGAGAAAATTTTTTCTTCTGTTAAAAATTGAGAAGGCTAGCTGCTGGTACTTGATGCATCTGTCTCAGTATGAATTCCCTAATGGCAAATAACTATTTAAATAAATCAAACTTTTTCCATGAAATTAAGCGTTACATTCCTTTTCCCCCCCTTTATC